TTTTTTTACCATTTTGTTGACTATGGAATTTCACAATCACTATATCGTTTAAATACTTACATCAAGAACTTAATTTCCTATTTTAATATCCTTAGAAGGGGCATTTTTTCTCTATATTTATATGGAACCATCCCTGAATTACTTTAACCTAATTAATTAAAAATAATCATCAGAATCTGACATACACATATATAGAATTTTTCTTTTAAATCCTTATCGGAACGTTATATATTCTTATATCTATGATTTAAGAAACTACTCTGGAGCTAAGCGCCCGTTCGGAACTTAACTCTTATATCGGCGCGGCGAAGCCGATAATCCTTTACAGCCTTTGTACTGAGCAATTCCGCCTTTTTCCATTTATACTTTGATGTTATTGTTCATTTTTTAAACTATTTAATAAAAAAAATCATAAAATTGTAGTGATGAACGAGCTCGCAGTCCATCTTATGCAAATAGCAACTTCATTCCAAGGACACCTGCAGCCAGCTTTAAACAAAGAACGCTACAGATGCATCATCACCTCTGATGACTATGATGGAATGCCTTACAGCCTTTTTTTGCCCCTAGAAAAGTAAAGGGCTACCCTCCGGGAAGCGGAAGAGGGAGGTGGTGAATGCTCTAAGCATACCACGCAGCCGGCTGCGTGGTTATGTGGGACTCACTGAGGAACCTCAATGCATACCCACTAAACACCACCTGAGACTGGCTTTGACCTGGTAAGGTCTTTCAGCCGTAGCCGAAGCGACCCCCCTTGGGTAAAGGGGGGCGCAGTCACCTTACAGCCTGTTTAGCAGTGATTATTGGCTCTATATACACTTCAGAACGCAAAACATCAGTGCAGGCATTGATATTTGCCGGCAGAAATAGATCACAGTGTGGTAGATTCCCAGACGTACCCCTAAGTAGTAAAGTAATCCAAAAAGTAGCCCCCTAAGTAGGAAATATTATAAAAATTAGTTATAATTATTAATACAATTTTAAAAGTTAAATGTAATAATTAACTCTTAAATTTAATAAAACAGTATAAAATTACTTTAAAAAATGAGCCCTACAGTATTCCCATATGATGTGTAACATCTGACATCTCACCTTGGCAGTAAACAACATTAACATTAAATTGTTTTTTAATCTATTTTAAAAATAACAATTGAGCAGCGACAGAAATTAGCAAGGCACACTCTTATCGAGAGTGTGGTTTGCAGGATGATATTGTGACCAGGATTAAGAAGGGAATGCTTCGGTGGTTTGGTCATGTGGAAAGAATGAATAAGGAAAGAGTGACAAAGAAAATTTATGTTGCAGAAGTGAATGGCAGAGTCGGAAAGGCGATTTATTAAAAACGGGCCAAATTAGGAGTACCCTTAACCGACGAGCATGTATGCGTAGGTATATCGATGTGAAGGAGGCGAGAGAGGTGTGTCAGGACCGGACCATAACATAAACACTCACGCCTGTCACCCTCTGGGTGACAGGCGTGAGTGTTTATGTTATATTAGAAATTAGCCTCAAAATTTACAAAAGCTGAATATTGTTATATTTACTCGGAAAATTATTCATGACTAGCTGGCCAGACAGATGTTATTCTGCTCTTTCTGGTTGGTTACGCGATGAGTCTCATTTTCACACACACTTTTCTATAGACTTATTAAACGTAAAACGTATAGCTAAATCCTCTTTATGAGTCATAGAACCACCACAGCCCTTATGAAAATAACCTTAAAAAACACATAACCCTTCTTTTTTAGTCTTCCGTAAACAGATAAAAAGTTGTCTCTTTGCTATAAGGAAATATCTTACACATTAAAGGTGTTTTAAAATAAAAATTTTTTTTCTCCTTCATATGCCAATAAAAGTCCACTGTAAAATGAGTTTTAGGGAGGTTTAGACGTTACCACCCCTATGGACTAAAATAGAAAATCTAGTTTCGTGTAGAAAAGATCTCCAATTCTCTACTTTTACCCTATGAAATAGAGCAGCATTTCGCTGATAATATAAGCATATTATAATATTCTTTGAGAAAATTATTATATCCCGGTCGAACCGATCCATACGTACTACCATTATATTATAGCTGCACACCAAAGGACTAAGATGGTGTGGATTGTTGCCATTAAAAGTGTACCAGGTCTACATCACTCGGCAAACAAAACACAGAAGCATTATGCTGTATTCCCACAATAGTATTCTATGAATACGTGGTCCTTCTGTTGTCACGCTGACCAATTCGTGCTACAACCATAATATAGCTGCAGTATAGCTCTACAACGATAAATGCATAATTTTATGCATAGTCTACGGAGAATGTTCCACATACTTTATATATTCTCACCTATAAATTTATGAAACGAAACAGCATTTACGATCTAGGATGCACGAATACCAAATGCAACGTCACAAGATCTAAAGCATTTTCATGTTTTATCTAAACAACATTGTTAGCGAACACCTTCGTAAGGATTACGTCACACGTTTGAAGGTAACAAGGCCGCTAATCGCTTGTAAATTCATCCTCAAATATTATGGCCAAGAACTTTGTTCTTTGTCTTTTGTATGCTAATATGAAATGTAAAATTTGTTTGTTATATACAAACAGAACTATTTTAAGACTTTTTTGTTTATGGTGTGTATATAATATATATAAAATATAAGTTGATGTGGTTAACGGACTGCTAGCTCACAGGGCGTAGTTTCGAATCTTAGGTATCGTTTAAAGAAAAGTAAAGTGAAAACTATACGTTACGTACGAGGGTTTTAGACAAAGACAGTCTTCTTTTTTTCTTTTCTTTAGGGTGACAAACGAGCACACAATCCACCTGATGGTAAGTGGTTGCTGTGGCCCATAGACATCTACATCTATCTTCGATTACGAATAAAAAGGCAGCTGCGTTATCTGTGAGGCATAAGATGAAATGCCTCGTTTCCAGTAAAAACTCACCATACGAAACTCAGCAGCATTAAGCTACTATTTTACGCTGATATTCTATGAGAGCGTGGTACTTCCCCGGTCGAGCCGACCCATTCGTGCTATAAGTATACTACTAATATAACTACAGCATGGCTCTACCACGTACAAAATTTCCGCCGTGCTGCCACAATGCGTGTTAACAAACTGTATTACGAGTATCTGAAAATACTTTTCAATTTTTCAGACGTAAAGGCGTCTGCGGGATATTTTTCTTCTTAAAACTCTGATTAACCGTTGCATTGGTGCCAACAGCAAATTTACTAGGTTTGCTTACGTAATGTGAAACTTAAAAAAAAGTCAGTCCCTCTTGAGGATATATTGAATAATTGTTATTCTTTTGGGTTTTGGGGTTTTGGTGTAAGTCTACGTTCTCACAGAAAACCAACTTAATTCTGCTGTGTTTGATATGGTAAATATAGAAAACCGGATACCCTTTTTACTAGAAACGACGCATTTCATCTTATTCCTAAAGAGTGACAACGCATTTCCATTTTGATTCTTCTTTAATACTTGTTTGAGATAATTGTAAATGTCAATGGGCCACAGTATTCACTTACCATCAGGATTGTGTGCTCGTTTTTCTGTGATTGTTTATTATTTTTACAATACAAGCTCCACAGATTGTAAGTGAATGCTCCATCCATCATCCATCATGCATCCATTGATATACACATCTTTCCACGATTAAAATACCATGTATTGGCGGTCTAATACAAAGTACAACCCAATATCATCCCATGGGTGTCGGAGTGAGATGGAATGATAGTGTCTCTTCTACTGCCATCTCACGGCTGAATATTGATTGCAAAACAAGCAACACCCACAGGTTGTTTGCTCGAGATTATGAAAAAGGTTGACTCAAGTAGAAAAGTAGGAACGCAAATAATTCCAGAGTTTGCTTATTTTGTTTGAAGTTGTAATTTGAATAAGTAAGATGACTTAATTTACTTCAAAGTAAACAAGGATTATTAATGCCACGTTTAGAGAAAGTAATTAATGTAAGTAAATAGCCGGAGCGCTTTTGAGTAAAAATACAAATAGTTTCTTTTGTATTTTCTTGATAGATATAAACAAGATAATTAAGTATATAAAGCAATTACACATTTTTCTATTTTAGTTAGTTAGTTTTAGTTAGTTTTAATTGCATCAGTAACATTAATTTATTATCAGCTGTAACATTCTTGACTTTTTAACCGACTTCAAAAAAGGAGGAGCTATGCAATTCGTCTCTTTTCTTCTTGAATAGCTTATTATTTTTAAAATTTATTTGGGACCACCCCTAGGGTCGCAAATAAATCTTAAGAAATAAAATTTAAAAGTGAAAAATAACGGATAAAGCTTTTTAATATTTATTGAACCGCACAAACAGTATAGAATCATAAGGCGGACTTAATACTTAAAGCATTTTCTGGCAGTCAGCCTAACAACACTGATTCACTTTATTTCGCTCAAAAGCTTCGCTTGTCTCGCCAAATTCAAAACTGCCCCGATCGCGGCATGCAGCGGGTTTAAATACACTTTTACGACGAAACATCCAGAATATTCGCGTAGATACGGGCGCCGACCGACCAGACGCAGAAAGTTCGAGTGTGAGGCTTCTAGAAGCTTAGTTCTTGATTCGATACTAGATGATGACTCTTATTGAATACACTAGATGGCGCTGTTGGTTAAAAGATTAGTCATGTCATTTTCTGGAAAGCTCTTCTCGCTCTGTTACCCGACACTAGATGGCGCTAGTGCCAGACGTCAACTTAGGCGCGCAACACCGCCCCCTACTAAGACATGCTTACCCGAGCATTATCGGCTCCATAATAACGCGCCAGGCGATCTACATGTACGATCTTAGGAGTCCCTCTTGCGCCTTTCTGTATCCGGTAGGTTACATCGTTGATCCTGGCCACAATCCGGTACGGGCCGTCCCATTTAGCTTGAAGCTTAGGAGATTTCCCTTTGCTGCAGACTGGATTGTGCAACCACACTAGTGTACCTTCGTCGAACCCTTTTTTGTTCATTTTGCGGTCATACCGGGTTTTCATCTTTTCAGACATTGCTGGCCCGATTGTCTGACGTGCTCATAAATGTCATTAATTTTGTTGCGCAAGTCATTTGCATAATCGGTTATACTGCGTGGGGCATCAGGTGGTATCCCGGTGATCAGGTCTGCAGGCAGCCGTAATTCTCTTCCAAAGTTTGCGAAAGCTGGTGTCACTGTTGTACTTTCGTGAACAGCGCTTCGATATGACAACAAAAACGGTTGTTTGTGCTTGCCCCAATCTCGTTGCCAATTGTCTACAACTTTCGCTAGGTACCTCTCCAATGTGTGATTAAATCGTTCTACCATTCCATCAGATTACGGGTGATAAGAAGTCGTTCTTGTTTTATGAGTACCCATAACGGCATGTTTTCTGGAATATTTGAGATTCAAAATTCCTTCCTTGATCGCTGTGAATCTCTAAAGGTACTCCAAAACGACAGAAGACTTCATGAACTAGTTTATCCGCAACTGCTGAAGCTTCCTGATTTGGAATGGCGAAGACTTCTGGCCACTTAGTGAAGTAATCCATCACAACCATGAAATACTTGTTACCGCTTTCACTCTCCGGAAACGGACCCGCCACGTCAATGGCCATTCTCTCCCATGGTGCACCAACATTGTACAATTTCAATGCACCTCTACTACGAATCTGAGGTCCTTTACAACCGCACAACTTGTACATTTGCGACACCAGTCCTCGACATCGTTTCGACAGTGTGGGTCCACTGGTACTGGTAAAACCGTTCTCGGATCTTCAGTAGAGTTCATTTAACTACCAAATGGCCTCCTGAACTATCATTATGGTACAGCTGTAGAGCATCCGGTACTTTAGCTTTAGGGACAACCATTTGCAAATGACAGCTGTATCCCCGAACATTTTCCCATTTACGGCACAGAACTCCATACTGAAGCAGCAAGCTGTCCAATGGCCCAATGGGACCCTATAGCTTTTAGTATTCGAACTCATCGCTGAGACGTCGCTCCACTTGGGCTTGGGATCACTGGCCTTCATCCATTCCAGAATCGGCTTGATGTCCGGATCTTTCTGCTGTGCATGTTGTAAGCTGTCCTTCCACTCGTTGCTGAGGTGGTCTGTCCTGAGCATCCTCACGGATACCTCTTCCTTACTCTCTTGTCTAGTACAATGTTTGCAATTTTCAGAACAAGGTCTTCTTGACAATGCATCTGCGTTGACATGAGATTTCCCACTGCGATGTTCGATCTCAAAGTCGTATTCCTGCAGTAGTTCAATCCACCTCGCAACTTGTCCTTCTGGATTTTTAACTGCAATAGCCATTTTAGTGCAGCATGGTCAGTTCGTAAGTGAAATTTTCATCCCAGAAGATATTTGCTAAAATGCTGCAACGACTTTACCACACATTCGCTCTTGTACACAATAGTTCTTTTTCGGTTTTGTTAACCACTTGCTGAAGTACGCTATCACGACCTCTTGGTCACCATTCTGTTGAGACAACACACCGCCAAGTCCTATATCACTTGCGCCTGTGTCAACTATAAATTCTTTGCTTGCATCAGGGTATCCCAAAATAGGTGTTTTGCACAAACGGTCCTTGAGCTCCTGGAATGCAATATTGCAACTTTTATCCTAGCAGAAATGTCGCTTTTCCTCGGTTAGCTTTTGCAGATATTTGGCTATATCTGCAAAGTTCTTCACAAATCGCCAATAATAGGAGCACAAACCCAAAAATGCTCTAACCTGCGTTTTGTTTTTGGAACCGGCCAATACTTGACAGCGGCGATTTTCTCCTGATCCGTGGGGATACCTTCTTCCGACACTACATACCCCAAAAAGTTGACTTGCCGTTTGAATAGTGAACATTTCTTCGGACTCAACTTGAGGTTGGCATTCTGAATCTTCATCAGCACGCGTTCCAGGTTTTGAAGTTGTTCCTCAAACGTACGGCCTACGATGATGATGTCATCCAAGTAGACCAGACAGGCATCGCCAATTAGCTCTGTAAGTACAAGGTCCATCAGCCTTTCAAACGTTTCTGGAGCATTGCACAATCCAAACGGCATTACTTTAAATTGCCACACAGACCCTTTCCCGTCGAGAACGCAGTTTTCTCCTTTTCCTTAGGGTCAATTTTAACTTGCCAGTAGCCACTTTTTAGATCCAGCGTGCTAAATTACTTTACTCCTGTAAGCATGTCCAGCGTGTCATCAATTCTTGTCAAGGGATAGCTGTCCTTCTTTGTAACGTCGTTCAGACGGCGGTAGTCAACACAGAACCGCATGCTGTCGTCCTTCTTCTTCAACAGCACCACTGGTGAACACCATGGACTAGACGAAGGTTCAATAACACCATCTTTCACCATTCCTTGAATCATGGTATCCACTTCCTTTTCACGTGCTACCGGCAATCATCTTGGCCGCTCACAGATAGGCAATTCTTCTCCTGTATTTATTTTGTGTTGAACTAAGCCAGTGTTTCCTATGTCAGCATCGTTTGATGAGAATACATCGTCGTACTTGAGTAACAACTTCTTCGCCTTGACCATTTCGTTCGGGGAGATAACGCAGTGACAGTCTTCCAAAAGTGTGGTCACTCTTGTTTGTGCATCCTTGCTGGGGGTCCCACTCGATAGATATTGGCACCGACGTAACCAATCCACTTCCTCGGAAGTACCAACCAGCGTGCCTATTTCTATAATCTGTTACCGGTTGTACCGATACACTTATTCCTGAGATGTCAGTGTTTCTGACCAAGGTTCGAGCTACTTTCCATGGAAGGTCAATGTTTACCCTTTCCACAAGTACACAACGGTGAGCTTGCCCAGCGTTTCGAGGAAGACTAACGGCACAATCGTTTCCGATCTCGGCGGAAGAACAATCTTCTTAATGCTGTGCACGTTCCCTGGTAACGCACCTTCCATAAAAAGTTCCTCCTGTCCACATTTAAAAACACCTTTCTTAACGTCGATCTCACAACAATTATTCCTCATAAAGTCTAGGCCCAGGATGCAGTCGTCCATTATATCAGCCACGATGACATTATGCAGGTAGGTCACGTTGCCTAGCTTCAACTCCATCTCCTTCTCTCCACGGACGGGTATACGCTGACCGGTGGCTGTTACCAAACGAATGAGTTCTTGGTTGTATGAGGAGTCCCCAAGGAACTGACTTATAAGTTGGGAATTAACAAAGGCTCCAGTGTCTATGGTCAGTTTACACGGCATTCCGTTGACCTCGCCCTTGATGAATAGACTGTTCCCATCATGGGTTTGTGAGATCGAGATCCTTGGGGCTCGTTTAACATCAGCCAGCACCCGCCCCGCAGTTCTGGCTTTTACTCGTTACCCTGCTGCTGCTGGGTGGTGCTGTTGGCCGCACTACCCTCCTGAGATCATTCACCTTCCCTTTCTAGGGTTCGCTTAGGGCAGCTGGATCGAAGTTGGCCCCTTTCCCTACAGCCATAGCACCTAGGGCTGTATCCATTATTACGGTCGCGAACTGTAGCTGCTGCAACCTCCCTGACGCGATTGGAACGATGATCCTGCCGCACGGCTTGCACCTCCAGTGCACGGTCCAAGGCGTCCTTAAGCATCTCGTGGTGCCCGAGCCTCACAGCAGCTCTGACTTCCAGGTCGCGGATGCCATTGATGAATGTCTGCACCAGGTTCCCTTCAATGAGCGCAGATACAGAGCAGTATGCTTTTCGCACCAGCTTCTCTACCTCTAGAGCCCACTGCTGCAGGTTTTCGTTGATGCGCTGCACGCGATCTTTGAGCTGCGTACGAAAGACGTGTTCCAGGTGAGCGTCGCCATATCTCGCCTCCAATGCCTCAAGGAGCTGCTCATAAGTCACTTCCTCACCGAGAGCTTCCAGAACTGTTAAAGCCTGGTCGCGCAAGCCTAGTGTGAGAGCAGTCATAGCCTGACTTTTATTCCAGCCATTCGCCTTCGTGACAGCCTCGAACTGGATTTTGTAGGCTAACCAGGAAGAAGTCCTGACGAACGAACGAACCTTGAAACCACGTAGCGAAGGTGTTGTAGCTACTACGGGAGCTGTAGTTCCATCTCCAAGTTTGAGTTCGTCCAGTGATTCCTTCATGTCAGCCATTACGTAGTCAACCCGATTGTTTACTTGGTCGTTTCGGGTTTCAGCTTCCGACAGGCGGTTGTCATGTTGAGCAACCTTATCCTTCACCTCCCGTATCTATTTTCCGAAGGTAGAGTGAAGGTCCTTCATGAGGAGCATCTGCTCTTCCAACTGACGGACCTGTTCTTCCTGTCGGCAGACCTATTCTTCCTGTCGGAGAGCCTGTTCATCCTGTCCGCCCCGCAGCTGCTCTTCCAAACGACGGACCTGTTCGTCCTGTCGGCGAGCCTGCTCCTGCAGCATCACCATCAGAGTACCTAAGTCAGGTGCTGCAGATGTAGGAGCTACTGACGGGCCTGCAGCCGGCGGCTGGACCTCCGACGTCTGCGGCGTTGCACCACCAAATCTTCTTTGGTCCGTCTCATGCTGGCGTTGACTTCGGGTACTGACACCCTCCGTTTCCTCCTTAGGTAAAATTGGCATGATTTTATCCCACTTCTGACACCAATTGTTACGAGCTTGAGGTTTGTGACAATCAAAACTGCCGAATTAATTACCAAAATTTACTCTTTAATTCACTTTACACTAATTAAAACTTAAAACACTAAAAATTAACCACACTTATTCACTTTACTTCGCCCCGAAGCTTCACTTGTCTCGCCAAATTCAATACTGCCCCGATCGCGGCATGCAGTGGGTTTAAACACACTTTTACGCCGAAACATCCAGAATATTCCCGTACATATACGGACGCCGACCGACCAGACGCAGAAAGTTCGAGTGTGAGGCTTCTAGAAAGCTTAGTTCTTCAATTCGATACTAGATGGCGCTGTTGGTTAAAAGATTAGTCATGTCATTTTCTGGAAAGCTCTCCTCGCACTGTTGCCTGACACTAAATGGCGCTAGTGCCAGACGTCAACTTAGGCGCGCAACAGTATAGTAGGTTTTTTAAATTATACTTTTCGGGAATAATAACAAGGGAATGGAGATTAACTGTTCTTATTGTAGTTTTTATTTGCATTTATTCGAAATAAATTCAAAACCTGATTCAGATTACAAAATATGCAATTCAGATAAAAAAATTGAAATAAATTAAAAATTCAAAATATCAATTACATATCCCTAATCATTTTACGACACCACATCATGTATGACGAAGATGGCGGCATTAAACATTGTACATTAGCATTAGCATGCGTGCAGCTAGTTTATGTAAAAAGTATTTACTTGCAACATATATAATAAAATAGACAATTATCATGTATTCGATGCTTTTATTGCACAGGGCAATTCTGGACACAATGTCCATTTATATTTGACTCGCGGATATTAACATATTGAACCTGAAGAAGCAAGGATCCTGTTAATCAACACCAATATAGAGCTTCTGTTGCTGGCGTGATATTGGTATAGTTAGTTTAAGTAAGCTGCATAACAACTTGAGTATTAATTTTTGATTTTATAAATATTAGTACATGGGTGACTAGAAAACATATAATTATCTCAAAAATGGAACCTAACAAAGAATCGTCCGAGAAACCGAAGAAGAAAAAAATGGAGAATATACACATTAATTGAGCACTTAAAGTCAACCTAAATATAATTTTACCACGTTGTACCTAAATTTAATTTAACCACGTTTGTAAGTCACTTTTTTGTTTGTCTGTCTGTCTATCTGTTGTTCCTGGTGAAATTTAGTAACTGATTTTAAACTAACTTCCTTGTTCTTCGAGCTATGTCGGTCACTCTGGTTCTACTACGGGTATCCTCATTCATAAATTTATCACGCAAAGAAACCCAGAGCTACGTGCTGTTTTCGAGAGTCTGCTATGCTATAGCAGACTCTCAAAAACAGCACGTAGACGCGGCTCAGAAGGGAAATCAGTCTGTAGTTTTTCAAGAGAGCGTTGTCACCTTTCTTGAAGAACAAGACCATATAAATAGCGGGATCGCTGGGGACTGAGGCTATTTGTGTCGTTGCTCATGGAGGGTATATTTTTATATTTTCCACGCGTGCTGAGCTGGTTGTAAACCGCAGTTTTTTATTTATTTTTGCTGTTATCAGAAAAATGCTGCTGCACATCTTCTGCGTCAGTTTCCCTCTGCCACCTCTTACGACACCCACGGGAAGATATGGGGTAATATGTATTCTTACCCGCCACTACACGGGGCAATAATACAATTTACATCAAGTCATTCATATGCTAAGTCTGTACAAAGATGATTATAGTTGACTCTCTATCTTTATGTTCTCAGCATTTTTACTCTTAGATATATATGACTGTACCGAACCTTCCCGTAAACTACCACTACCCTAAATTATCCTGAGGTTCGCCCACGTAAACCAAGGATATGACGAATGAAACCATATGAGGCTATATGATTATATGAATATTTTGAATGAGGCCTACAATAACTATCAACTAAAAAATAAGTGAAAGTAGTAAGTAAGTAAGAAAAAACCTCGCTGCCTATCCCGCAAATGAAAAAAGTAAAGCTATAGTAGTAAGTATAATTCATTTTCTTCATAAAATGTTTAATTTTTACTGTGTACAATAACATTACAATGATATAATGCTACTTACGTTTGCGGCAGCTTAGGGAGGGTTGAAGTAGAAGGAGACGAATTCGAATCTATATTACTTTTATTTTCTAATTTATAAGTTAAGGTAAGGCATATGTAAGTGGTTAGTTATTTTTTTTTGGAGTTGTAAAGAAATTTTGACTAATCTAAATGCATTTTATACCTTGATCGACTATTAGTCTTAACTACTACTAACTAACTTGTAAATTCTACTTAGCTGTGATAGTTTTTCTTTAAACTACTAATACATATGTACTACTATCGTATATACTTTTTACATTTTATTTTATACATAAACAGCGGTTTAGTTAGTAGAGGACTCACGACTCTAATAAAAAATATCACTTTCAAGCTAAATATTTCATAATCGGAGTCCTGAATCGAAAAGATGTTCTTCTATATCTATATAAGATGTGTTTTTAAAAGAAATATCCAACGATACCCTACAGTATGGAATAGATGGGTAACAAAAAATCATCCTCCATTTACCTGTATAGGAGGTACCTAAAATAAAAATGTTTTTCTTTTTTTTATTTCATATTTGTGTAAGCGTGATCAATATCTATAACTACGCCACATAACAGGTTTGTAAGACCTAGGGTCTCTGAGTAAAATAGCGGACGGACGAACAGACGGACGGGCATGGCGAAACTATAAGGGTTCCTTGTTGTATATCTACGGAACCATAAAAACGTGATATATTAAAAAATACAATGTGTTTTTAAATTCACTTATATATGTATTATAGATTAATAAAAATATTTGAGAACTCAATAAACAAAATAAAATAATATAAAACCCCTTGATCACTAATAAAAAATTAGTGATCGTAGCGCTGCAACTCTTTGCTCCTGTACTACGGAGCCATTTGTAACAGTTTACTTCCAGCCTTCATCACAAAATAAGAATATAAGCTGTTGACACGTAAAATATTATAAGTGGTTTAATTTTAGTGTGTAATATATTAACGTTGGCTCGGAGCCGAGTATTGGCAAACACTCGAGTACTTTGTACTCGGATTAGGATTGTGTATTAACAAAAAGTGGACCGCTGGTAAAGCTTATGTTAGTATGTTAGTTTCGGTAGTTAGTATTAATTCGTATGTATTTTAATGTATTTATTAAAGGAAGTCAGTACATTTTTGAAATAATTTTTTTTAGGCACCTTGGGCTTTTTTGGGGATGAGGACTAAACTCGTGTGAGCGTCACGCTCAGAAGATACGTACATACTTTTGTGAAGCTAAGAAGTTTTCACGTCTGACCTGCAGTCCTACGATTGACAGTTTTTTTAACAATTTGTCATTAGTAGATTTTTTACCTGTGCATAATAAAAGGAACAAGTGAAAAGAAAATATTTTCTATTATTTAACTCTAATACAATTTTAATCAATCGACGGATTCAACTCGGCTGGGCAGCGTTCGGGAAATTACGACACATCTTCTTGTCAGGTATACCTCAATCTCTGAAAATTAAAGTGTACAACCAGTGCGTGTTGCCGGTGATGACTTACGGATCAGAGACGTGGTCCTTCACTGCTGGCCGTATAAGGACGGTCAAGGTCGCTCAGCGAGCTATGGAGAGGGCTATGCTCGGAGTTTCTCTGCGTGATAGACTCAGAAATGAGGATATCCGCAGTAAAACCAGAGTGACCGACATAGCCCAACGCATTAGTAAGCTGAAGTGGCAATGGGCCGGCCATATAGCTCGAAGAACCGATAACCGATGGGGAAGAAAGGTTCTCGAGTGGCAGCCTCGTACCGGTAGGCGTAGTGTAGGGCGACCCCCCACTAGATGGAGTGACGACCTGGTAAGACATGCAGGAAGTCGGTGGATGCAGGTGGCTCGGGACCGTACCTTGTGGCATTACTTGGGGGAGGCCTATGTTCAGCAGTGGACTTGTGAAGGGCTGTAATGATGATGATGATCAATACAATTTTGGTCGTAAACGCGGTTGCTAATAAGGTCCCGGTTTCGAATCCCGGGTCGGGTCGAAATCAGTCATTGAGTTTATCTGTCAAGAGATTCTGAGTAGCAGCCCGGAGTCAGGAAGTTGGCGGTGTTTCAACCCCGTGCCTCTGAAAACACGTAAAGCCGTGAGTCTTGCGCCTGATCTCCCATCTGACTATGAGAGTAAGTGCACTTGCGCATACATTTGTGCACTATAATCCTGTCCGGAGCAGATGGCTAATCTCTGCCAAAATGGTTGTTCAGCGAGCTATGGAGAGGGCCATGCTCGAGGTTTCTCAACGTGATAGATTTAGAAATAAGGATATCCGCATAAGAACCAAAGTAACCGTCATAGCCCAATGGATTAGTAAGCTGAAGTGGCGATGGGGCGGCTATATAGGAAAGAACCGACAACCAATGGAAAAAAGATTCTCGAATGGAAGCCTCGTATCGGTAGGCGTAGTGTAGGATGACTCCCCACTAGATGGACTGACGACCTGTTAAGATTTAGTAAGTCAAGAACAATTGGTAAGACATGCAGGAACTCATTGGGTATTCCTCCTAAATTAAATAAAATAAAATAAAATAAAATAGTTTTACTCAATCTGTATTAAATTAATATATTACAATCATTTCTGGTTTCGTACTGTTTTAATGATTATACGCCAGTGCACGACCAGAGAAAAACCACGCTCGCACTAAATACGAATTCAATATAATTACCAAGAGCTGCTGTGTCGTATCGAGCGAGGAGATACGGAGACACATTTGACTGGTAACAAGATAGCTCATCTTTGTCCCCAGGTGTGATAAACACTTCCCCATATCTTTACGAGGTACTCGTATATCCAATAACCTTATAAGTACGAGTATAAAGAAATGAATAATTCTATAGGCCAAAGTCTCCCCTTACCATTAAGTGGATTGTATGCTCGTTTATTCCACTTAGGG